GAGTGATTAGCAGCCCGGTTGGGGTGTGAGGAAGAAATGAAAAGCCTAGAGGATGAGTCAGGCTGGGCTGTGGCAAGAAGACTGCGTGTTAGCCAGCCAAGAGGCAGCCAGGTGGAGAAACCTTCCCTGCAAATCCGTAGGACAGTTCCATGCAGTGGAGGGAAATTGTGAACTTCCTTCTCTGAGTTGGTCTTCCTGTAAGGGATTCAGAACTCGGCAGGGATTTTGCTGAGTGTGACTTCCCTACTGGGGTGAGTTTCTCCTTCTGCTAATTGGGAGGCTCAAGCTGGCTCTGAGCTTATCAACCTGGAAACCCTAGCCACAGAGGTCCTGGAAGGTTATAATGGAAATCTTACATATTTCAAACTACCTATGATATATTTTTTGCTGAAGGAAGGCAGGAAGGGAGGAAGGAAGGAAGGAAGATTCAAGCAGGACCAGTCAGGCTCCTAAATCTAACCTCCAATTTACAGGAAATACCAGGGACAGAAAAACATGTTAAACGACACCACAGGGGTGCAATCCACAAACTATTAATTGCACGAAACTCTCCAGGACAAATGACTTGTTATCTCCAACAAATAAATGGTAAAGAAGGAAAAGAGGGGAACCTATAGAATAAAGGAATTTAAGAGACATATTAGCCAACAGCTGATTGAATGGATGGATCTTATCTGCACTTTGAACAGAAGAAACTATAAAAACAATTCATGGAGTAATGAAGATCACTGAGCAGTGATAGAATATTGGGGGAATATTAAAGGATGATTGTGAATAGAAGATTGGTTCTGAAAATGGGACTATGGCTATCTTTTAAAGAGTCCTTATTTTTTAAAGATACCTGTTCAGATACTTTTTTTTTAAGATTTTATTTATTTATTCTGAGAGACACACAGAGAGAGAGAGAGAGAGAGAGAGAGAGAGAGAGAGAGAGGCAGAGACACAGGCAGAGGGAGAAGAGGCTCCATGCAGGGAGCCCGATGTAGGACTCGATCCCGGGTCTCCAGGATCACACCTTGGGCTGAAGGTGCCGCTAAACTGCTGAGCCACCCAGGCTGCCCTATCCGTTCAGATACTTAAGATGAAATCATATGACACATGGAACTTGCTCCCAAATAATCTGGAAGGAGGTTTGGGAAGGGGGTGGATGTAGGTGAAAAAGTTTGGCTACAAGTTGACAGTCATGGAAGCTGGTGTTGGGTTGATGGTGGTGTATGTATTTTACAGCACTCTCTCCCTCAAAACAACCACCATGCCCTGCATCAGTAAGATGACCCACAAATGCTCACAAAATATTTTGCTGATATTATTAAAAGTTGATTTGTCTTCTATTCACTGATCTGCTTCACATCACACATCCTGTTATATAATCACTGGTTATGAAAAATGGGCAAAATAATTCACCAGTGCTAAATTACCTTGACTTTGAGGTGACATTGGATAGTGGCTGACAGCTCAGCTTTGTCATATGCATCTCTAAGAAACCCAGTTCAATTTTTTTTAAAAATATTTTATTTATTCATGAGAGACACACACAGAGAGAGGCAGAGCCACAAGCAGAGGGAGAAGCAGGCTCCATGCAGGGAGCCCAATGCAGGACTCGATCCCAGGTCTCCAGGATCACGCCCTGGGCTTAAGTCAGATGCTCAACCGCTGTGTCACCCAAGCGCCCCCAGAAGTTTTCTTTATACTTCTTCAAGCCTCAACTTTCTCCCTCACACAGTGGGAAGGAGTAAATGAGGTTTTGTGTGTGGAGCATTTGGCTCAGTGTCTGACCATCAGCAAACTGCGGTTTTGATTATGACCAGTGGCAGCAATCCCAGAAGAATGTAGAGTAGCATCTTATTCATATAAAAAATTATGCTTATTTGGGCATGCACAGAAAGATGTCTTAGGTGAAATACTACAAGTAGATAATAGACATAATCCCACAAGGGGTCATTCATTCATTCAACAAACACTGCTGAGTGCCTTCTGTGTGGCAGGCACAGAGGAACTGTGGGGTACTGGATGAGCTCAGCCCCTGGGGCTGACAGGGTAAAGAAATGCAGGCATGTCGAGACAGGGAGAACACAGGGGTCAAGACTTGGGGGTGGTCCAGGGAAATGTCCAGACAGAGATCTGAAGGATACAGGAGAATTAGCAAAGCTGGATTTGGTGGAGGGATGACAGGGAGTAGAAGACAAAAAGGACAAAACATTCCAAACTACTAAAGGATGAGCAAGTGCAAAGGCCCTGGGGTCAAGAAGGAGTAATTCCCAGGGTCCAGAGGATGGGAGAGTCCAGAGTAGGACACATGAAGGTGGGGCAGTGAGTGGCTGCATGGGGGGAGGGGGGTTCTTTCACTCTTACTTTGTATCTTCTGAATTATGTAAATATTTTATGAAAAACATATATCATTCTTACAAAGTTTTAGGAGCACCTGGGTGGCTCAGTGGTTAAGTGTCTACCTGTGGCTTAGATTGTGATCCCGGGGTCCCGGGATCGAGTTCCAGATCAGGCTCCCCACGGGGAGCCTGCTTTTCCCTCTGCCTGTGTCTCTGCCTCTCTGTGTGTCTCTCATGAATAAATAAATAAAATCTTTTTTAAAAAAAAGCATATATTGGGCAGCCCGGGTGGCTCAGCGGTTTGGTGCTGCCTTCAGCCCAGGGCCTGATCCTGGAGACCCAGGATTGAGTCCCATGTCGGGCTCCCTGCATGGAGCCTGCTTCTCCCTCTGCCTGTGTCTCTACCTCTCTCTCTCATTAATAAATAAATAAAATCTTAAAAAAAAAGCATATATCCCTCTTACAATGTTTTAAAAACCTAAAAAGCCCCACACATATAAAAAAAAAAGAGAACACCCCTTAAAGCTCCAAGAAATGAAATTATTATAGCATTTACTTTTTTCCCCAAGAATCTATATGTTAAAATCCACTTACATTTGCTAAGAAACCACCTTGCTTAAATGTAACAAGTATGGCATCCCCTCCTGTCTGGTTTGCTGGCAGGGCCTCCCCATCCTCCCCTACGATAATTGTGCCTGATTTAAATAACGCTCCTTGCCAGTCCGCATGTGGGCTCTGGCTCTCAGACAAGTTTCTGGAAGTCAGGTTGGGTTCTGAGGAAAGGCCCACTGGCGGGGTTTGGGGAAAAGCTTTTCATTTTCCCAAGAGCGGCTTAGAGCACGGCTTTGTGCCCCTTCTCTGTCCCCGTGCCCAGCACAGCCGGCCAGCAGGAGAAAGAACCCAAGAGCGAGACTACTCTGCAAAGTGGCACTTGCCAGTTTCATTTGCAATCTGCTGCTAGGGGCGGAATCTGTTTTTCTGGCTTCCTCCCCGGGGCCTGGGGCGAGGCTGGCTGACTTTGATGTGGAGGTGGCGCACGCAGAGCCTGCAAGTTACCTGAGTGCAGCCTGGTACCTGGAGGCAGAACTACAGCTGCCTGCAAGGACGGCTAACGCCTCCCGCTTTGGTCTGCCGCAGTGGGAACACAGCGAGGCCTTTCAAGTCTGCCCCTGTGGTTTCTCGCTGCAGGAATGCCAGGTTTATTATGGGTTGTTCCCTGCTCTGTTTTGATCCCCTCCCTGTGCCCCTGCCCAGCTCGGGACTTTTCATTTCATGTCAGATCTAGTGAGGCCGCTGGCTCCTGGCTGCAGAGCGTTGCACTACGTGATACAGAACGGCCTGTCCAAGAGAGAGGGAAAGAGAGAGAGATGCAGAGACACCCACACAGATGGTTCTAGTCCTAGGAGAGGCACCTCCCAGCAGACAAGCACCCAGGTGATATCACTGACTGGCCCTGTCCCTTCAAAGGTCTGTTGGTTCTTCCTTGTTGAGGATGATAAAGGAGAGCCCACCTGTAGCACCACCCTCACCGAAACCTGGAGAAAACTCAGACTCCAGGGGTAATCCCACTGCTAGAAAGGCGGCTGCAAGATTACTGCACCTTCCCGAGCCAGCCCCGCAGTGGTGCCTCCTAACCCCAGGGGAGCAGCTCAACTGCCAAGTTAAGATTTACCTCTCGGCTCTCTCACCTTCCAGAGTGCAATCTTGCACAAATTGCTCAACTTTTCTAAGCCTCAGTTTCTTCATCTGTGAAATGGGGATAAGAATTCTTGGGGCACCTGGATGGCTCAGTGGTTAAGCATCTGCTTTTGGCTCAGGCTGTGTTCCCGGGGTCCTGGGATCGAGTCCCGCATTGGGCTCCCTGCATGGAGCCTGCTTCTCCCTCTGCCTGTGTCTTGGTGTCTCTAACAAATAAAAAATAATAATAGAGTATTTGCCGTTTATCTGAAATTGAAACTTCACTGAGTGCCCTGTATTTTCATTCGCTAAATCTGGCAACCCTTCCAGGCCATCCAGCTGGGATGCTACCCCAGCCTGACTGAGCTGTGCATGCACCTCACGCTCCTCCTCTCCCGCAAAATCACCACGACCGCATCAGGAAGCTCCTGGGATCGTTATGAGGATTAAGAGCGGCTACTGTAAACATATCAAAAAGGGCAGGAATTTTATTTGCTTTGACCGCAGCCGAACCCAGGGCCTAGTGCTGCATCTGGCACGGAGGCGGATCACCAGAATGATTTATTTTCATGAAAAATCGCTAGTACTATTTTCCCTAAAAACCACCCCTTAGTAACCAACCAACCAACCAACCAACCAACCAACCAACCAACCAACCAACCAACCAACCAACCAACCTCATAAACCCATTTCAAGGAAAACTGGGTCCAACATCCAAACACGCCCTGCGGGTCCCCACTGGCCCATCACTTTGCCCCGCCCCCAGGTGCGCCTGCGCACTCCCCTCACTGCAGAGAGGCGTTATACGCATGCCTGGGGGGCAAGGTGTGCGCATGCGCAGAGGCGGTGGCATGGGGGGGGGCGGCCAAGGGGTGCGCATGCGCAGAAGCGGTGGTGCCCGCGGAGAGGGTGGTGCGGTGCCCGCGGCAGCCCCGCCATCGTGGGCGACGGTGCTGGAGCTGCTGCCCTCGGAGGTTTCCCTCGCCGTCGGCCGTCATGGCCTTTGCGCCCATGGGGCCTGAGGCCTCGTTCTTCGCGGTTCTGGACCAGCACAGGGCTTCCCTGCTGGCCGCCCTGAGGAGAGGCGGTGGGGAGCCCGCGGGCGGGGGGACGCCTCAGGCCTCGAGGTAGAAGGGCCCCGGGGTCCCGGGGCGGCGCGCATGCTCGGGAGGTAGAGGGCGCGGGGCGCGAGGCCCGGGTCTCCAGGCCGCTGAACGCCCCCCCCCCCCCAGGCCGGGCCTTCCTCAGCTCGCCCCTCCCTTCCCGGCGGACAGGCCCCGCCCCCGACTCCCGGTGTCTTCTGGAATGTTCCCCGCCTAGAAGGTTCCAGGAGCTTCCCGCGCGGCTCCGCTCGCAGGTTCCCTCAGGAAGTGGTCCCGAGGTCAGGGAGTGTGGGGCGCGCTCCGGCTTTGTGTTTGTTTTAAAACACAATTTAAAAAAAATGTTTTTTTTGATAGTTTTAACTTAAAAAAAGCTCTGAGGAGAGTGTGTGAGGAGAGAAAGAGGGAGGCTTGTGGAGAGACCTCGAGGGGAGCAAGGACGCGGTCGCGGTGAGACGACGACGGACCTGGAACAGGACAGCGTCTACACACGTTTGAAGTGGTTTATTTAAAATCTGTGAAAGTCGGTGGCGGCTGGCGGCGGCAGGTGCTGCGGCCGCGGGGAACGTGTTCGTGTTCTTGGCCATTTTTACTTAAAATGCTGTTTGTTTTTTTTTTTTTTTCCCCTCTCTGGATCCGCTTTTCTGGTTGATCAGCAAAGGTTTTCTTTTTCTTTTCTTTCTTTTTTTGTTAAAGATTTTATTTATTCATGAAAGAGAGAGACACACACAGGCAGAGGGAGAAGCAGGTTCCACACAGGGAGCCCGACGCGGGACTCGATCCGGGCGGGGTTCTCCAGGATCATGACCTGGGCGGAAGGCAGATGCTCAACCGCGGAGCCACCCACACGTCCCACTACTTTGAAATTAAAAAAGTTCTTTTGTTGTTGTTGTTAAAGATTTTATTTATTTATTCATGAGAGAGACAGAAGCAGAGACACGGGTGGAGGGAGAAGCAGACTCCCCGCAGGGAGCCCAACGCGGGACTCGATCCTGAGACCCGGATCCTGAGACCCCGGGATCGTGACCTGGGCCCAAGGCAGACGCTCAATCCCTGAGCCACCCATGCGCCCCGATCAGCAAAGTATTTCAGCCTAAACAGCTTGCTCTCATTTTTTTTGAATATTTATTTTTTTTTAATTTTTATTTATGATAGTCACGGAGAGAGAGAGAGGCAGAGACACAGGCAGAGGGAGAAGCAGGCTCCATGCACCGGGAGCCCGACGTGGGATTCGATCCCGGGTCTCCAGGATTGCGCCCCGGGCCAAAAGCAGGCGCTAAACTGCTGCGCCACCCAGGGATCCCTTGCTCTCTTATTTTTAAGAAGACTAAGCCAACTACCAAAAACAAAACCAAACAATCCCCACCCCCCCAAAAAAAAGTGGAAAACCTACAAGCAAACCGATTTTTATGAAAGTATTTGCTTTGAGGAAGAATTCGTGAGGGGGATGGAAAGGAGGGAATGGAAGGCCCTGGTTTCGGCTTCAGATGCGAATGAATCTAATTGTATTTTCTAGTTGGTCACACTATCACCTTGCAAGTTTTTTTTTTCCCCCCAGACTGGAAAAATGAATGAGATCTTGGAGTCAGTTTTTCTCTGTGTTAGAAAATACTGATCGTTTTAAAATTTGCTTTCTGACGAGGTGCATGTTCAAAGCAAGCTCTGAAGTTTCTGGGGGAAATTAGAACGTTCTGCATTTTTACGCATTTTCTAGATTTAATTTGATTTCCCTTCTTAGGCAATACACTAATGGTATTTATAACTGAGCAGCATTTTTTGAAGCTGATGGCTTGTGAAATTAAAAGTCAGCTCACAGAAAACTGGGCTAAGTCTTCATATTTTGCTGTAAAGTGGTGAGATGGTTGCCAAGTCTTTCCATGGTAGTGATTAAAAATTTTTTTTTCTCTTTGTATCACTAAAATTCAAAACGGCGGGTTTAAGGCATGAGATCAATCAGGGTGATGTGCTACAATAAGAAGTATTTATTTTGGAATATTCTTGCATTGCATTTTTGGGAAAGAAATTAAATTCAAAGCCAGTATTATTACATCATTTTTAATTAAAACATTTATCAGTAGTATTTCGAGCCAACAAGTTTGAATTTAAGTAGGTTAATATGAAGAGATTGGAATATATTTATAAATCATTGTCTAGTTATTAATATTGTCTAAAAGGGAGATATTACTTCAGTTGGTAATTGAGAAGCAAAATTACAAGCAAATGAAATTTCTCTGCAAGAAACTACTATGAATACAGTTCTTTCAGTGCAACGCTGATGTCAAAATTTAGTGGGAGGGATCAGTATGGACGCAAATTACCTATTCTTAATAGACAACCAATGAAACAAAAACCTATCTGTATTGATCTGGGGAAATGTTACATTTTGCAAAGGCCTAATCCAGAATTAAGACTGAATCACAGTGTGTTTATTGTTTCAGTTCTGAGGTTCTTGCATCTATAGAAAGTGTTATCCAAGACATAATCACAAGCGTGGCAAGGAATGAAGCACCTGCGTTCACAATAGGCAACAGATCAAGCTGGGAAAATATAAAGTGGGCACTTTGCATTTTTAAGTTTTTAAATAGAGTATCTATGTCATTATTTGAATTTATTCGAGTTAGAGTTCTAGTCTGATTTCATTCTTTTTACTGCTTTTACCCTGCCTAGAAGGATTTAAGGAAGTTTACAAAATACATATCTCATAGGCAGGTCATATAAACTAGAAGTGGGTGTGAAGATAAGGCAAAGGGAAAAAAACAATGTTAGGAACAACAAATGAAAGGGCCAAAAGAGTTTAGAATTAAAAATGTATATGATAAAGTCTTAGGGTTCTGCTAAAAATAGCCTCCAAACTGGGATCTAAGCTTCCTAGCACTCAAAGGGGGGAAATACGACCAGCGGAATTCTGCAGAAACTACAAAAGCAACCCACTTGGCTCAGGGAAGCTACAACCAATCCTGATACTGGAATGAAAATAAATGTATCCAGAACACAGCACATTTCAAAGGCTATCTCTCCTGGAAGATTTGTGCCTTTGCTAAGTCATGTGTCCAGGAGGGAAAATCTGCAAACAGCTTTGTCAAAGTCCTCCAACCTGCTCCTATAGTTTGTGTATTTCATATGCTCAGCCTGTAGAACCTAAATAATGAAAAACACTACAGTAGTTCTCAGTAAGAGTTGCACAAGCAGAATAAAAGTAATTTTGAGTCTCTTTAGTCACTATTTTTTTATGGTCAGTATAATTAGTACAAACTGTAAACTTTTGAATCATATTTTGCATCATTTTCCAAGATGGATTTCATGAAGCCCTGAGGCAGCTAATATCTGGCCTATTTGCCTGGTGCCTTCTGCCACCTTTAGGACAGGCTTGGCAGTTCAGTTTAACAACCTAATGCAAATTGTTATTTCATTTAATGTAATTTTGGAGGTAAATCAGAAATGCAATATTTCAAAACTTGTTAATTGAGCAAAATGAGTATATTAAAATGAGCAAAATGCTAACAAAATCATGAAATGCCTAAAATAGTTTACATACACTAAATCACACATTAAACACTAAATACACACATATACACTTATTTTAAACACTTTTAGTGCCTCTATATGTCACAAAGCCAATTAATTACCACCTGGAGTTATCTAAGATTATAAATGAAGTTGTCCTAAAGCTTCAGTGCTTCTGTTGAGAAGTAATATGGATTTTGATGATGTGCAGAAGAGGATATTACATGCATATTGTTTGGTGTTCAGAAATTAATTCTTTTTTATTTTGCCTTTCAACAAAATGACAGGTTTGAAGATTCTGTGGGTCTTCAGATGGTAACTCACTGTACCACAAGAAAAATCAAAAGTGATTCACTAAAATCAGTCAAAAAATTTGGTAAATTAATCTTTCTTAGCTTTTAGTAGTAAAATAAGTAAGTTTGGTTACCTTCTGGGTCTAGTTGTTCCTAGTTGAATGATTTCTAGTTGTTCTTTAATAATAGACTACCCTTACACCTGAAATAAAGTCACAAAATTTTGCATTGTCAATAACAATGGAAGCAAATTTTAAAGGTACATGATTCAGTGGAAAAGTATTCTTTCGGTTTTGCTGTTCAGAAAGCAATTAATTTTATCTGATCCTTCAGGAAATTATTATTCTGTACTCAGTAATTCTATTTTGGAAAGATATATTTTTTTTAATCTTATGGAAAGTAACTGGGGGCAGTTAAAATCCTTGATAGTGGGTGTTTTGAATTAATGAGTGAAATGCTGAGTAACTTGTTTATCGCATCTTATTTTCCAGCCCTAATTCTTAAAATACTGTCCAAGATTTATAAACTAATACAGAGCAACACTTATGCAACCAAAAGGTAAATTCTTGTTGTGGTAAATTACTCTTTAAGACACAATGTGAGAGTTGTTTAGGTTAACTCCCATTATGTTTTAAAACTGTACATAAGACTAGGCTATGGGTAATAAGTTACTTTCTTTATATGTTGTATTTCATTCAACAACACTTCCTACAAATAATACTCCAATACTTGTCATAGTCAAAGAGAATATGGCTAATTAAAAATATATATTTAATTTTCATAGAGACATATATTATACTGACAGCCAACTCTTCGGTAACCAGACTGTCGTGGACAATATCATCAATGACATTTCTTGTATGTTAAAAGTGCCGAGGATGAGTCTACATATAGTAAGTAGCATTTAATACGAAAGATTTGTGTAAAATCATAATAGAAAAATACAGGTAATCTGTGCCATGTTTTTGTATTAGTTGATACTACATTTTTCTCATTATGAATTTAAATAATCTGCTTTTAGTATGTATACCCTTGGATGAATGGACCAAAAGGCTGAATTACTAAATATTTTTTATCCCTAAATACCCTTACATATTTTCGCCTTTACTTCTTAAATTCCAACCTAAGCTAAAATATACGTAATCTGGTAGATGAACACGAGGATTGGCTCAGCTGTATAGAATATGTTAGTGGGGGGCACCTGGCTGGCTCAGTTGGTGGAGCATGAACTCTTGCTCTTGGGGTGTGAGTTTGAGCCCCACATTAGGTGTAGAGGTTACTTTAATAAACTTAAAAACATTAGTGAAGTGTTCAAATATGGCTATTATTTTTTCAGTTATCTACATCAAAAGGTTTAATTGCTGGCAATTTAAGGTACATCGAAGAAGATGGCACCAGAGTACACTGTACCTGTGGTGCAACAGTAAGCATTTTAATGTTTTCAGATGTTTTTCCTCTCTTTCAGATCCTTTGTTCTTGAAGTGTATTTTATTTCCTGCTTTCTTACGTAGTTTCAACCTTAAGATTTTCAAATAAAACTGAAGGGTGAATAAGCATATGCTTTAGGGGGTCTTTCAATCCACAGTTTTAAAATACACCAATTGTTCAATGTCATATTGAAATACACAAAGATACTCTTTCCTTTGAAAAATATACTGTTTTCAGGTTGCATGTAGCTTGTCTATTTTAGCATAATTATGTAATCTTTTTGCAGTTTTCTGGTTCTGAAATTGATTTGTTTAATTCTGAGCTATTTCTGGGCTTTGGCACCTGGAAAGCCCACAGCACTAACCTGCACAGCAGTTTGGAAACGAGCAAGATGACACCTGTGTGCTCTAGGATAGGAGGGCTTTAATTTACCACTTCCTGCCACCTAAGCCACAGATCCACAAAGTTTCTGAGAGATTCTCACCCGTTAGGATGTAGTTAGGATGGCGCATCTGTCTTTTTATTGAGGAGTAAATCTGTTTCCTAGCATTTCCTTACTGAGGAATAAATCTCTGATGACTAGTATATTCAGAGGAAAATGAAAACATAGGATTTTTGTGACATATTTCTCAAATGTGGTTATACTTGCTTTTATTTAAAATAAAAACTCTCTTGTTCATTTAGGCTGTTGCTGTGCCATCTAATATTCAAGGAATTCGAAGTATCCTTTGAATGGGAAAACTATTTAAGCTTGTAGAATTTTCATTTGTTCATTACTTTGATAAACCAAACCTTCATAATGTGTAACTGTCAAGCTAGACCCTATAGTGGTCAAGATGAACACATGTGGTCCCTGCTTTAGGGGCTCCCTCTCTAGTAGGAAAGATGGGTATCTAAATATGTAAATACATACCTATATATTTGAAGGTAAAAAGGAATATACTATATCTATAGCTGCTTTAGAATTGATTTATGTGGCACCGCTATTTAGTTGGTGATTAAACAGAAATACTCTTGGCTTCAAATTATCAGCCTTAACATCACAGATTTAATTACAGATGCAAAATTTCTATTAATTGTGGAAAAAGATGCGACATTTCAGCGACTCCTAGATGACAACTTTTGCAACAGAATGTCCCCATGCATCATGGTTACGGTATATCATCTCCCTTTACTACAGTTACAAGACTAACATACTACTTCAGTGATTGGCAAGAGGGGTTTATACCATTATCTGTACAGCTTACACGACATTCTGTTATCAATGTGGTGCATCCTTTGGGGTGATCGAGTAAGAATTTCCAAGGCATTTATTTAAAGATCCTCAAATCTGGGGATCCCTGGTTGGCTCAGGGCATGATCCTGGAGTCCCAGGATCGAGTCCTACATCTGGCTTCTTGCAGGGAGCCTGCTTCTCCCTCTGCCTGTGTCTCTGCCTCTTTCTCTCTCTGTGTGTGTCTTTCATGAATAAATAAATAAATAATTTTTTAGAAAATAAACATCCTCAAGTCTGACTAAAATCAAGGTGGTGGTCCCCACTCTTAAATACCAGTGATTTTTTTCTTTTTCTTTTTTTTTTTTTAAAGATTGTATTTATTAGAGAGAGCTTGCATGAGCAAGAGAAGGGGCAGAGGTAGAGGGAGAGTCAGACTCCCCACTAAGCAGAGAGCCCAACATGGGGCTTGATCCCAGGACCCTGAGATCCTGACCTGAGCCCAAGGCAGATGCTTAACCCACTGAGCCCCCAGGGTCCCCCAGTCATTTTCCAATCCCACAGTGAGTTTACACGGTCCTTCAGAGTCACCTACGTGCCATTCCCCCATGGCTGCTTGTCTCAAACGTAATATGGTAACACTGGAGCTCTGGGTGGGTTGAACGTACAAGTGCTGCTTTATGTTCTGCCTCCGCAGATTTGTAGATCAGAGAATTGCATGAATTCCATCAAAGGAAGCCTGCTTTTTTATACATATATACATTCACATATATATGCACCAAGAAGGGCAGAGAACGCAGAAGTATACATTGAGATGCCACCCAGGCAACTACAGGTTCTTGAGCAAAGGGTAGTAAGCTTCCCACTACAGGGTTAGTTGTATAGGAGAGTTGGTAACATTGGAGCAATCAAGGAGACCTGCTGGCCTAGGGCCAAACGATGTGTGTGATGCTGCCTCCACGTCCCTGTTGGTAGATACTTGGGCCACTTACCATAGCCTTTGTCGTTTTAAATAAGACTGCAGTGAACATTTGTGTATGTCAGATTTTTATAATTTCCATTTTTGCTGAAACGTTTCCTTAGAATTTTTTCCCAGGACTGGGATAGTTGGGTCACAGTTACAAATATGCAGGCTCTTTCACTCTGTTGTGTAGACTGTACATTTTTCACAGTCCATGTTGGTCTTCCATCTGAAATTGAAGGTGACCTAACTTTTCTAACTTCTAAATTATTAAGAAGATAAGGGAAAGGTTTTGTGAGTTTCATTCTGCTAGAATTAAAATGCATAATTTCTTTCAATCTTGCTTTTAGGGAAAAGGAGTACCTGACCTGAACACGAGACTTTTAGTCAAGAAGCTGTGGGATACATTTCATATTCCTGTTTTCGCTCTTGTTGATGCCGATCCACATGGTGATTTGTGGTTGGATTATTTGAAGCAGTCATCCTACCTAAATCCTGTTTATCATATTTGTAGTTGTGCTTTTCTACTCTTAGAACACTTTCATAAATTATTTTAAAAGAAGATGATTATTAGATTAAAATTAATGACTGTAATCATTCAAGGTAATTTATTGCTATTTTTGCCGCACTAAACTGAACCATAAATTTTTTATTGGTAGCATCTATGAAGTAAAAGTTGCAGATGTTAGATAAAATGTGAGAGTGCCCATGCCCTGACCTGTAATGTACAGGGAGACTAACTGTATGGGTGACTTTCTTTTCACAGGCATAGAAATCATGTGCATCTATAAGTATGGATCTGTGGTAAGTACAAAAAAGTATTTTTCCTTTTCCACTATTGAGATAGTTTATATTCATCAGAGTGAATGCTGCATTCACTTCAAGGCCCATAGTTAGCTGCGGACCCCCAGAGTGTTCTGGGGAGCTACTCTCCAAATCTAGGGCCAATCTGCTTCAGAAGGCTGTGACTCCAGCTTCCAGCATGACCAGTGTGACCACGGATGACAGAGTGGGATTAGTTGTGGACAAGAGGCACTGTTATTCTCCACTCTCCCACCTTGCTGCACTAACTGTGGGACCCTGGGGTAACAGGTCTGATTGCCAAATAAACCCTGAAAGTTATATATAGCCTTGAATTCTGACGTTGCCAATTCCTTTTCCTCCCACTGTAAGGAAAAAGAAAAACATCACCAAATTTCACCACTAGAGTGTCTGAACTACCGTACATCAATGGTTCTGGCCTCAAATGCCAGACAAGCAGTATTGGCATTACCAGGGCACTTGCTAGAAATGCACATCTCAGTCCCCATCCAGGTATCCTGAATTGGAATCTCTAGGCTTGGACCCCAAGTGATTCTGATGAGTGATAAAGTTTGGGAACCACTGGTATACACCTTGAGTGTTCCTGACATATATGTTTATATGGCATACATGTTTAGACAAAACAGATGACGAAGCAAGATGTTAAAATACAGAATCACAAACAACAATAAATGTAGGTCAGAGAGGTTCATTTGTAGTTTTACTTTATATAAAATCAATGTGGAAATACTAGAGCAGTTTTAAAACCTTCCTGAAAGCCAGGTTAGCAAAAGTCTTGGTGATTCACTTAGTTCTGTGGGTTCAGGGAGTATGCAGTCTTTAGTATTTATGCTTCTTTTTTTAAATTTTTTTCTTTTAATTTTTATTTATTTATGATAGTCACAGAGAGAGAGAGAGAGAGGCAGAGACACAGGCAGAGGGAGAAGCAGGCTTCACGCACCGGGAGCCCGATGTGGGATTCGATCCCGGGTCTCCAGGATCGCGCCCTGGGCCAAAGGCAGGCGCCAAACCGCTGCGCCACCCAGGGATCCCCTGCTTCTTTTTTTTTTTTTAAGATTATATTCATTTATTCTTGGGGGGGGGTGCAGAGACACAGGCAGAGGGAGAAGGCGGCTCCATGCAGGGAGCCCAACATGGGACTTGATCCTGGGTCTCCAGGATCACACCCTGGGCCGAAGGTGGTGCTAAACCATTGAGCCACCCGGGCTGCCCATTTATGCTTCTTAATAAGTAAAAAGTGTATCTGTAAAAACAGATATGCTAGTTTTCTGCAGTTTAGCTTCACCTAATGTACTTTTGCTCTTTATTTTAGGCAATGTCTTTTGAAGCTCATAATCTCACAGTTCCAGCTATCAGATGGCTTGGTCTCCTCCCTTCTGATATTAAACGGTTAGATTAATTTTGGTTTTAGTAAAACTAGGAGTTTTAAAATGATGACTCATCATAATATGTAACAATAAGCTGAAAAAGTCACCACAGGGAAGGTCTTAATATGTTTTATTTATATTGTTACTATGACTCAAGATTATAGAATCATGAATTAAATTCATCAGATGTTTCTGTTTCAATTAGGAAAATATTTAAATGAATTTGGCAAAATATAAAAAATAAAAAAATAAATGAATTTGGCTAGCTGAATTTTCAGCTAGAGGATATTTTTTGTTCTACCTTTTGGTTAAAAGATTTTGTAATATTTTTATTCTTTAATTTTAGTCTTTAGTTTTTTAAGGCTTTGTAATATTTTTACATTCAAAAAGTGTAAGACATTGAATCTAGTTAAATGGTCATCATTGACAACATCATTTGCCATATGAATCAGCTTTACCATAGACTTAAATTTTTAAGTTCCTTAAAAAAAAAAACCTGGGGATCCCTGGGTGGCGCAGCGGTTTAGCGCCTGCCTTTGGCCCAGGGCGCGATCCTGGAGACCCGGGATCGAATCCCACGTCGGGCTCCCGGTGCATGGAGCCTGCTTCTCCCTCTGCCTGTGTCTCTGCCTCTCTCTCTCTCTCTCTCTCTCTCTCTGTGTGTGACTATCATAAATAAATAAAAAAAAATCTCATTTTAAGGTGACTTAAATTTTGGAAATCTAAATTTGGCAAGTTCTATGTGTTAATTATAGAAAAAATATCATTAACAAGATAAATATCACTTACCAATCAACAGCATTACTCTTATAGTTATTACTCTATGTATAGCCATAACTTTCACAAAAATGGGATCATACTTCATTATTCTATAATCTGCTTTTCTCACACAACACAATGAAATCACTTTTCCGTATCAATAAATACAGTTCCATGACCTCCTTTTAGTGTCTTCTAATACTGAGTTCCAATTCTGGATGTACCAGTGTTTGTTCAGCTAGTGCCTCAGAGTCTGACATTTGGGTGGTTTCCAAATCTCTGATAAATAGTGCTTTGATGGGCCCTTCTGTAACCAAATCTTTGCCTGCATCTTTAATTAGTCCCACAGTCCTGAAGCCTGAATTCTCAGAATTGCTGGGTCAAAGGGTATGCACATTTTTAAGATTTTGACTGCCCTCTGGATAGGTTAATTATTTTGTTTTCCCTGGAGAGTAAGAGCCCACCTGTCCCTCATCACAGGACATCATCACTTTTATTCATCTCTGCTAGCGTGCTATTTTAAAATATTCTGTTGTTTTAATTGGCTGGTGTGAATGCACTTAAATGTGTTTATTGGATATCTTTAAGCAGTGAGCAAACCTCAGTACCTGGGACTTATTTCCTACATTTGGAACACGAACAGGTTTTGGGTGATTGCCACTTCTGACAAAATGAGGGCATAAGAGAAAACATTCAGTTGTTGATTTTTGAACATTTACGCTCTAGTGAGTTAAACTTTTGTTCTATTTGGTGTGTGTGTCATGGCCAAAATCTCTTGGGGGGGACCTGTTTGTATGAAGAGCTTTCCTAACACAAACTCAGGTAAATGATCTCATAATTATTAAGGAGGAGGGCTTGGAGAAACTCTAGCTGCATCTCATTAATTCCATCAGTGCCCTCAGAGCCATTCCAAAGAAATGGACAATGAAAAATTCTTAAAGTGTGGTAGCTACCCAAACACGATTTCAGGGGAAATCGTCTGTGCCCCCACCCTTTTTAGTCAAATTGTCACCCTATCTGGTAGCTGCCACTGGCAAGTGATCATAATTGTGAGGAATTGAAAAAGACTATTTGAAACTGGAGCTCTCCTGGGAAATCCAGGATTTGTGACTTCAAAAAGTAGTCTATTCCATAAATAGGAAAAAATCTTGTGTTCTGTTTTTAAAATACACACCAAGAAAAAAAATTACAATCCACTTTTTTTTAAATTTAAAATTAGATAGGGGTGTGTGTATGTGTGCATATTAATGAAAATAAGTTAGAGACTAACTTCCTTAGCCCATAAAATTTTGAGTGAATTACAAGGAATGAAGTGCCCAGTAGAACCTGAGACCCCACAGTGAATCTTGCTGCTGGCCATGTATATTAATTAGCTCACTGCTTCAAGGCTGTAGTGCTCTGGGAGCCACGTTGGTGTCCATGTACTTGATGTTAGTGCTGTTGGCATTTTAAAAATTTTTTATTTAAAAAAATTTTTATTTATTCATTCAACACAGTGAGTGCAAGAGAGTCTGAGTGGGAGGAGGTGTAGAGGCAGAATAAGAAGCAGACTTCCCACTGAGCAAGGAGCCTGGACCCAGGCCTTGATCCCAGGACCCTGAGACCATGACCTGAGCTGAAGGCATCCACTCAACTGACTGAGCCACCCAGGCACCTGGCATTTGTTTTTATAACCAATGTCTGTGTTCTTGTCATTGTCCTGTGGGTGTGATGTGAAGGAAAACAACAATTTAGGACAGACGTCCACTGTGAACTTGAATACTTGCTGGTCTAGGACTTGCCAGATCCCCCAAATTCTGGATTTAAATGATGGATCCATCTGTTACTTCTGCATTTCTTGAAATAGTATAATAAATACAAATAAATACGGGCCCTTCAAGTTATAGGAGCACTTTGTTTTTGCTGATTTTTTTAAATATATTTTTTCCAGGTTAAATATACCTAGAGATACTTTAATTCCACTGACAAAACGGGACCAAATGAAACTTGACAGTGTCCTAAAAAGACCTTATGTTACTTGCCAACCATTTTGGAGAAAAGAAGTATGTTTCTTCTTTCTTTCTTTCTTTCTTTCTTTTTTTTTAAGAAGTATGTTTCTTTCTAAAATTCAAGTATTGTATGTTTTATTGCTTTTAACTTTCATGGTGGCTATTCACATAATGTTTTGAAGATATTCTTGAAATTTTGTATAACTCAACTAAAGTGAGTGTTGTTTGGCAATAAATGACTGTTGAAACACTGAATTATGAATGCTAATAGATAAGATCAGATGAATGGAGCTGACCTATTATTATCCTCATCATAGTTCTATGCTCATTGTCTATGGCTGTAGCACAGTTTAGGGGGGAGGAAAGAAGAGAAAGAAATTACATAAAGACCCCAGATCATTCCTAGTTATTGAAGATCCAAACTGGGTGGTATTCTGACATTTTTTGGTGTAACAGCTCTGGAATGTTCTGGCTGACCTGAAGCCTATTGTCCATGATTTGGGTGAGTAAAATAAGTCTAGATTTACTAGTTTGAGTCAACAGAGCGGTAGCACAGGACTCTGTTACAAGTGTACTTTGCTTTTATTGACAGATGGAAATAATGGCAGACTCTAAAATGAAGGCAGAAATTCAAGCTTTGACCTTCCTATCATCAGATTATCTCTCCAGAGTGTACCTACCTAACAAATTAAAATTTGGAGGATGGATATAAAAATATATCAGAATATATCTTTTTATTTGCAAGAGATTTTTCATTAGTTTTCAGTAGTAGATACTGTTGTGCGAAGAACATACATTCCTGATTCTGTAGAGATAAAATAATTTTCCATTAGTGATCTTTTTTGTCAAAACAGCTTTCTTTAGAAGACTTTGTTTTATCCTTCTCTGTAGAGACTGAGTTGTATCCTATGTTCTAAAGTAAATTATAAAAGGGCATATGTTACTTTGGCTTTACCACTTTATTTGAAAAAATATACATGCCATCAAAGTCTGCAGGAATATTTTAATTTCTATAATGCAACTAATGTTAAGCCATAAAGCATCTTTTTTGTATCAAAACTAAAAATCTAAATTTGAGAGGCTGCAAATGAATTACAGTGTCTAGCGTTTCCTTTTTAGTTGTGCTTTTGTGTTTGCCTTCATGGTGTAGGGGTCGTACCCACTTCATTCACTTGTGAAAGAAGTAAAATTTATTATGAATAAATATTTGGGTTGATACAGTCTGAAGCACTTAATTTTGTTTCTGAGTATGCTTGTTATTATTAGGAATTTATATGAAAATTTCCCCAGGGTTTTATCTGTCCTCACCCAAAATCAAATCCCCTGACCTCCCCTCTAGTATAGGTTCAAGACTTGTACCTGTGGTATTCCTACCATACTCTAAGTTCAAAACTTAGAGAAACCTCGAATTTTAATAAGGCCTTTCTGTAATAGTAAAGATTCCATTTTCTACCCTTCTGACCCTCTCTGAATTTTTCCAGAGATGAGTTTTATGACTTTATTCTGTACTTTCAGCAAACATCTAACTGCATTGAAGTTACTTGTAATGGTAAGCAAAAATATGTATTTATAGGAGAATAGAAACGTGGTGAGTTATTTTATCAAGACAAATCTTAATAGTAGTGAGTCCTGTTTCTGAGAAGGTACCTAAGCCAGTTACTTCTTACACATTATTTTAACTCTCCCAAGAGCCCTGTCAGGTCTGTCATCACATCCGTGGGTTATAGGTGAGAACAGGGGGGATGTTGCTTGTCCAAAGCCACATCGCTGGAACATGGCAGAGGAAGGACACCTCACACTGTTGAGCTCAAGAGCAGGACCAGCTACTGGATACGTGGGGCCCAGTGCAAAAGGAAGCATAGGGTCCTCTTTCAGAAGTTACTAAGAACATCAAGACAATAGCGAGAATTAAAATACGCACAGGGGGCTCTTCTTAGCTTGGGGCCTGGCGTGACTGCACACCTGTGAAGCCAGCCCTACTTAAGGGGTTCTAGTAAGTATTAAATGAGGTAATATATTAAGAAAATAAAATACCGGGATCCCTGGGTGGCGCAGCGGTTTGGCGCCTGCCTTTGGCCTGGGGCGTGATCCTGGAGACTCAGGATCGAATCCCACGTCGAGCTCCCGGTGCATGGAGCCTGTTTCTCCCTCTGCCTGTGTCTCTGCCTCTCTCTCTCTCTGTGTGACTATCATAAATAAATAAATAAATTAAATTAAAAAAAATAAAAAAAAGAAAAGAAAATACCTGTATAGCACCTATTATGTGCCAGGTATTTTTCTGAGTGCTTTGAACATTAACTTCATCTTCACAGAAACTCTGTGAGCTAGGTACTTTCCTTATCTTCCCCACGTTACTAAGATAAGACAGCAAAGGCACAGAGATGCTAAGGAACTTTTCCCAGGGTCACATAACCACTAAGCAGTGGAGCTGGGATTTAAACCCACAGTCTGGCTCCATCCACGGCTTGTGCTTTTAACCACGGCACTTAGTACATATGAAGTGCTCTGAAAAGGTCTGCAGTTCGTATTGTTGGCTCGGGGTCAAATCAGGTCCTCCTGATTTCAAGACTGTAATGCCAACAATTAGGTTATTTTCCTTGGTCATGTCAGAACCAGATTTCATTTTGAGAATATTCTGTGAGACTATCAAATTGACTTGTGAGACTATCCTAACTTTGTAAAAACATTTTTATTTATTTTTAAAAAAAATTTTATTTATTCATGAGAGCCACACAGAGAGAGAGAGAGAGAGAGAGAGAGAGAGAGAGAGAGAGAGAGAGAGAGGCAGAGACACAGGCAGAGGGAGAAGCAGGCTCCATGCAGGGAGCCTGACATGGGACTCGATCCCTGATCTCTAGGATCACGCCCCGGGCCGAAGGTGGCGCTAAACCGCTGAGCCAACCGGGCTGCCCAAAACATTTTTATAAATTTATAATTTATAAATCATAAGTGTTTCTTTGAATTCCTACCATCCTTTACATCTAATATCACTTGAATGTTGACAGGTTCTGTGAAGGAGAACATCACCAACCTAGAAATACAGTCAAGCTGCAAGATTGGATTAGGACATACGGTCAAAATGAGAAGCAATGAAAAATCTACAGTAGTCATTAAAATTTGAAAATAAATATAAAATTTTTTGAAAATAAATTTGAAAGGGGCTCACAGATGCATTTAGTTTAGATAATTACATTCATTTCAAGTTTATGATTGGAAATTGACTTAATTTTCGTTTACTTGGGAAAAGAAAACGAGACGAGAGCAAAATGCACTGTGGTTTGGCTTTGCTACTTATCTTTGACACAGATGAAAACCTAATATTTGTAGCTATTTGGGAACCATCTAGAATTCTAATTCTCAAGACTTGTTTCTAAAAAGGGTTACTGTAAAATAGATAATTATTTAACATGGCAACTGACAACAGATATCCCCTCTACCTCGTCTACTGTGTTTATTTTTAATATTTTCATAAGTTTAATTAAAAAAGAACATTTTATTGGAATTAGTTTCTAATGAAAGTGAATAGAAACTGGTGCAACAAGATGTTCAGAGAATCTTACTCTTAAGAGCTCATAATCACCCTCATAAAAGCTCTTGTAATCCTCAGGTTTCTGGGAAATTTACCTGTCATCACTGATGGTACTAAGTGACTTGAGAAGTCATGATTTTTTTTTAATTTTTATTTATTTATGATAGTCACACACACACACACAGAGAGAGAGGCAGAGACACAGGCAGAGGGAGAAGCAGGCTCCATGCACCGGGAGCCCGACGTGGGATTCGATCCCGGGTCTCCAGGATCGCGCCCTGGGCCAAAGGCAGGCGCTAAACCGCTGCGTCACCCAGGGATCCCGAGAAGTCATGATTTCATAGAGGAAAAAAAAACATACTGCAATTTCTACAAAATAGGCAAAAACACTCCAGGATTTTATCTCTGACTTCCTTTAATTAGAGCATCTCGGTTGAACTGTTTGATAGTACCTGTTTATTGGTGCTAAAGGATGCCAAGAACAGAGACTGTCAGAGCTAAACCACATTTACATGTGCACTAAAAAATATTTGCAGCAGAGTGTTTTTGTAGCAAAGTATTGAGAAACATTACTTCTTTTTGGACTTGGTTTCACCCTTAAAAGTCTATATCCCAAGGAGACATTTCTGTAAACACAAGCCAAGGGCGCCCTCTGCTGGCAGGAGCCCTGTTCTCTTAACTCCCACTATTTGGGAGAATTCCTTCTTTTCCTTTTTTTTTTTTCTTAAGATTTACTGATTTTTTTGGAGAGAGAGCAGGGATGGTGCAGGGGGAGAGAGTGAATCCTGAAGCAGACTCCCTGCTCAGCGCAGACCCGACGTGAGGCTTGATTCCAGGATTCCCAGGTTACAACCTGAGCTGAAATCAGGAGTCATGGTGGCTTAACCTACTGAGCCACCTGGGTGCCCCTGGGTGGATATTTCTTTAAAATATTTTTGGGGTGCCCGGGTGGCTCAGCGATTGAGTGTCTGCCTTTGGCCTGGGTCGTGATCCTGGGGTCCCGGGATTGAGTCCCACATCGGGATCCCTGCATGGAGCCTGCTTCTCCCTCTGCCTGTGACTCTGCCTCTCTCTCGCTCTCTCTCGCTCTCTGTGTCTTTCATAAATAAATAAAATCTTTAAAAAAATAAAATAAAATATTTTCAAGTTGGGGCACCTGGATAGCTCATTTGTTTGAGCGTCTGCCTTTGGCTCAGGTCATGATCCCAGGGTCCTGGAATCAAGCCCTGTGGTGGGGCTCCCTGCCCAGTGGAGAGTCTGCTTCTCTCCCTGTCTCTTTCCCCTGCCTCACTTGTGTACGTGCTCTCTCTGTCAAATGAATAAATAAAATCTTTAAAAATGTTTTCAAAAAATAATAAAAATAAAAATATCTTTTCAACTCGTTAAGACATGGGGTAGAAGAGTCTGAGACATAGCAAAAAGAATCTGAGTAGAACCATGAGGGTTTCTGTGTGAGACTGAATACTAGTTTTTGATAAAAGTCCATTCTGCATCAGCTTTGGATGCCCCAAATTTCTTGTAAAGCTGCACTTTGTGTATGTTTCTTGGTAACCAAGCTCTTTATAAAACCTTTACATATTAGAACTTTTTAATTAGAATTTCAAAATTAAAGATCACTTTAAATGAAAAGGAATTAGTACTAAACCAGAAGCATATTTCGTTTCTATTCATCTAGAAATGGAATATAAATATTGCCTTGGGTAAAACATGTGGAAGTGGGGATCGCTGGGTGGCTCAGCTGTTTAGCGCCTGCCTTTGGCCCAGGGCATGATCCCTGGAGTCCCGGGATTGAGTCCCACTTCGGGCTCCCTGCATGGAGCCTGCTTCTCCCTCTGCCTGTGTCTCTGCCTCTCTTTCTCTCTCTCTCTCTCTCTCTCTCTCTCTCTCTCTGTGTGTCTCTCATGAATAAATAAATAAAATCTTAAAAAAAACATGCGGAAGTGTTTGGCAATGCTAATGATTGCCATAACCGAAATTTAATTTTAATTATTTATTTTTGATAATTTTTTGCTTATATTTTGTGGCTCAATAATTACACTTGTGCATAGAGGTTGTTTTGACCCCCCTTTTTGTTTCTAGGGGAAGAAGTGAGGTGACTTCTGCAGTCAGCTAATGTGGAGGTGTGGGGTCTGATTTTCCGGGCAGGATGCTTGCATCCCAATTCCCCTTCTTTTTACAAAAAA